AAATATGATCGGAGGCAATGCGTTATCAAAACGGCTAGCCTGGGAATGTAATCTCATTGCCTCTGCATTCGACCACTTTTCTAGAGACCTCTCTCAAAAACAGTATTAGTCTTATAGACATTTCTATCATGAAAAATCTTGTCATATCAATCGATAATCAATTGCTAGCATCTACTAGGCTTTTTGGAATCTCAAGGGGTGCATACTTTCCAGTCGTTTAATACTTTGATCTCTTTCTCTTTCTCTTTCTCATTCTCTTTCTCTTTCACGTATATTTGGGATATTTCACGATAGATGGCTTCGTCTCGTGAAATTGATGAGGGTTTTTTCCGAGCTTGATTGAGCTAACCCTAAGGAATTCGTGATGAATCTTCCTCTTGGAATCGGCACCATACTGCCAAATTTACGGCGCCCGATTGAATGATAGAGGCAGTGTAGCAGCTGTTTGCGAAATTGATGCCTCCCTGTATCCTATTCAAGCCCTATAAACTTTGTTAAGTAGTGCACAAAAACTCGAACTCAGATGGGAGTTAGACCTGCGCTTCGCCCAAACTAGGTGCGCGTGCCGATAGTGCTTAACAGACCAGACCCGCCGAAAATTAGTTGCTGACAGCTGCGATGGTTTATATCGAGGAGTATTGGTCGCATAGCGGTGGCCTTGGTGGTGTAGTGGTAGCACGTGCCCGGCATGGGTGAAACACAGGTTCAACTCCCAACTAAGGTCGCTTTTTTGTGTACCACTCAATTTTCTTAGGTGGCTATGATTTTACTTAGCAAGTGGTTGGTTCTCGTAAGTACTTAGGTGTTGAAGTAGATCCTATCAAAAAGCACTGGGATTATTTGGAAGGTTTTTTCTATTTATTTATTTCAAAAGCCATTAAGAAATATTGCGCGGATCCCCTGCCTCCTTCAAACGTACTCTCTTGTACGTCATTCACAAAGGTGTTCGGGATTGCGTGTAGACTCGTTTGCCACGATAGAATCTCCCTCCTCACCAATGTTCTCAAACGATAGTCAGGTTCGTCGCTACTTGAATCCTGGACCGACTTAAGCGCTCCCTAGTCTCCATTACAGATGATTGCTAGTGTTTGCCGATCATAGCAAATTTTTCTTAGGCAAATCTGCTACCATTTGGTCGACTTCGGCTAAATAAGGGGACTTGCTTAGTGAGATACGTGAAAAGGGTTAGATACGCTATAGCATTTATTGGTGATTTTATTTGTTAATGGGATAGCCTGATTTCATCATTAGATTGTGCGACATGAACACAGTTTCCCTTGAATGTTATAGTTCTGAATGGGCAGGATACTTTTCTTTGAATCATTATGCAAACTGTGTTAGCGTCAGGTCGTCACCATAGCCAACTGCTTGTCATTTGGCTGATTAGACAACATTCGATTACTCTTGTGTGGAAAAGGCAGCATTTTCTGGAATACGTTCACTTCGCATCAGAGCGTCCCGATGTATATGTCGGCCCCAGCTCTCAGTAAACTAGATGAATCTGACGAAACACGAACGGGCTACTGTTTCTTTGCAGCACTTCGTATTCCGACACCCAGGAACACCTAACATGCGACGATGAGATGAGTTAATCATCGCGAGAGGTTATCGTATTGATTTACAGGAAGACTCAGTCATTAAATTATTTTTTGTCCATCCCAAGACACATTGCATAGAATATTGTTATGCTGTAATTGTGAAACGTCAGCAGTACTGCGCATTCGATATATTGTTCAAATTGTTCAGGGAAAAAAACTAGGCACTATTGAAGAAGAGCTGACACAGTTGATGAGTCCCGGTGAACGATCAACAACAATTTCTTTCTCAAAGGAAAGCAGAACACCGACGAAGTCGGCGACATTTCATAGCATTGTAGATTTACAGAATATATGTGAGTTATTTCATTTATTCCAAACTAATTGCATTTATAAGTAGTACTTACTGGTAGTGAAATTCCAACACTGCTCTTCAAAGACAAAATTTCGAAATCAATGTATAGTCAAGAAACGTTTTTTGTCAGTAGCGTATATTTTGAATAACGGAGTAATCCATCATCTTGTTGCATCAAGAAGCTCTAGAGGTTCATTTTAATTCGTTTCTTATCGTTTTTTAAATTATAAATTTTTTCAAAAATTATGTTTTGGGACCTGTATGTCCAGGATAGGATGAATCTATTGTAAAACCGAACTTTCAGACGATTCTCTATTTTTCCAACTTTATTCATTGCTTTATTCTGCTTATAACAGTACATGATTGTAAAGTTTGAAGATAAGGCACAAAATAGTTAAGGATATGAGAAGTTTTGCTCTTATCTCGATACTCTTAAAGCTGAGCTTTACGACTCATTTTGCCGTCAAAAATAACAGACAGTGAGTAAACTCCGAAAATCGTCAAGTAAGAAGTGTGTAAAATATAGCATTGTGATATTAAAAAAACAGATAGACTACGAGGGAAAAGAAAATCATGAATATAAATTATCATATGCTGGTGATTCATCGATAAAAAATGGCATAAACCAAGTAGGAGTAACTAGAAACTAGCATTGTAATTTCAACCACGACTTTAAGTTAACTGGCTTTGATGCCGAATTGTACTCCCAAATCAATTCCGTTGACGTGTGATTGCTGACGAATATCGAATAAGTGGAAACACGACTGAGAAGAAAATTTGAAAGTGCCTTAGATTCCAAGTATCTCAGCACTTTTATAGTTAGATACCTTCAGTCATTTCTTTTCTATCCCACATGGTTTCGAAGCTCAGAAAGGGCAGTGGCTAAAGATCTCCTGAAAGATACGTAGAGTCTACGGGTCAATCCTGCTTCGGGCCAGCTATGCCTTCCATCTCACCGGTGGTGGTGGTGCCACATCTTTCAGAACAAAACTCCATCAGATCTACGAGTGGTGAAGATTTGAGATAGCTCTGCTGGGGCGTTTCATAAGTTCCACGATGACCATTTTTGCTTCGGGTGAAGAGCCGAGATTAGTTCAGTATGGCTGTTTTAGGCTTGTAGTTATGCCTACTCAGCCACGGTTTGGATGTGACTTTACATATCCTTGCAACGGTTTGGACTTCGTCATCACCAAGGTTAACCTGTCTGAGAATTCCGGCCGCTCCAACTTTTCTAAGCGATGAAGAAAGCAGTACATTTTCGGAATATCTCTAAAGAAATCTACAAAAAACTCCTCCCTCAATCGGGCATAATCCTTGATCAAAACAAGATATTTAAGTATCCAAGTGAAACGTATACTAAGTTTTGAACCGGAATGAAGATTAAGGTCCCGCATCTTTCGCTGTTGTTTACTTTGGCAAATATTCCTGGTGTAATTTTTCTGTTCGTACTAAACTTCTATTTTTCATTGCTTTGTTGAATGATTTATGGCTGATTTAAGTGAAGAGTTTTAGTTCTGATACTCTAAAAAGCTCTGAAGTTGTCGACGTTGATCAACCTTTTAGGGGATGCGTCATGAATTCGAATCCCTTAAGCATTTTTAAAGAAGACTAAATACGCATTTAACCTTCACAATGCGCACGGTGGCTTAACGCTGCATTAAGTCCGTGTCGCGATCCTCCCAGAGAAATTTTGACGACAGTGGAAGAAATGATGTTCGTTCCTCCTAGAGAACTTTGGTATACAGTTTTCAACCACGGACGGATGAATGGCTTGGATCGTTCGAAATGTATGACTGAACCAACGACCACGTGTGTGTTGCAGGTTATCTCTAACCACACTGTCACACACGTCTTTAGCCATGATGTGTAGCGAAAAGTTAAATAAAGCGAAATCTAAGAAACCATTAAATGGCAAACTTTTTGATATGTGAAAGATCAGTTTTATCTGTTGCTTATTGAAAAGGGACTCATTGTTCGTTATTTTTTGCTATATATTCCTCATATTCCGCAAGGTTATCATTTTTTGCGCTTGATTGTTACCAATTTAATTTCTTGCGAATGTTTGGAACACTTTCTGCTTGCGATGAAATTTCGCTCTCAGAGACATCTGCTGAAAAGTTGAGGGGCTTCTCTTCTTCTCTTTCTTTTTTCTTCTTCCACTTGTTCGCTTTTTCTTTCATTCCTTTTATCTAATCTGCCAGCCAACTGCAGTGCAGCATTCTACCTACAAGAAAATCTAGGGATTGTAGTCGTCTCATCTTAACTATAAAATGTTCTCCATTTAGTATCTATGCAAAAATGTCGCAACGTTAATGTGAACTTATACCCATAGTATTGCTTGGGACTTCACGTGAGGTTGTATTATTTTATCTTGAAGTTTTTGTATTATAGTTTCATCGAGTAATTTGATACGATTATATTGGGACATCTGTAGTGCAGATCTTAGAGCTACTCTGAAATGTGTACATAGTCAATGGTTCGATCCCTCGCCCTGAGCCAATCAAGCCTTCAATTCCTATGAGGTCGACAAATTGTGTCAGATCTGTCCGGGAGAATAAAAACACTGACTTGATACATCCGATAAACCTCTGCAACTCAATTTATTGCCTAAACGACATTCGATAACCCACCTTTTCGCACTATGCTAAGATTAACGTCGAATGATTCTGACAATCCTCATGGATTTGTAAACACCAAACTCATCCGCATATTTATGTTGATGTATTGAGATTTCCATTTCATGAACCTTATTGGTTGCTTCGCCATCTTGAATGTAATCCACCTATTCGTAGGATACCGGCCTCACATAAATTATAGCCTACATAGTTCACCTCACCTCCGATCAACAAGTGCCGGTACCAAGCAGTGTCGATTTATTACAAAGAAAACTTCTGTGAACTCCTTCCAAGAAAGAAAACTTTCGGTCAAATTGGAAAACTACCGGATCTCAAACGAAACATGTGCTCGAGATTCTTTATTACATTCTCTTTTGACGCTTATGGCCCGAGCTACTTTCCGTCAAACTTCTCATGACTTCTGCAATAATTAGAACACTGAAGTTGGAAACAGGGATTTTTGTGTAAAGGGTGTTGCTTCAACAGAGTAAGATGGCCTCGGTGCTGTAATGGTAGCACGCTCCCGTGGTATGGGTGAAACACGGTTCAATTCCCGTCTGAGGGCTGGAAGTTTTACTTATCAGCATTTTTGAATATATAACCAAGAAATATAACACTACTACAATTTTAATAAAATGAAGAATCCTCGTATGCTTTGCTTTATACATTTCAGAATAAACATGGCTTTTCAAAGCTTTTATTTCATATTCAAAGTAATTTAGAAGTAAGGCTTGAGAGAAACCAAACAAGATTTTTTGAAGCTCAAAGCGAAAGCCCTGAAGCCATAAACATCACGACCGTCTCTAGGGACATCATTATTTTCTAATAGACGGGAAAGCGCTGAATTCAGTTCTTTTCTTTTTCAAATTACGAGCCTCAACGAAAAAGTGCTCTAAATACGATTGGTGTGCTCCATAAAATCGGGTTTCATCATGATAGTCTGAGAAAGTTTTTTATCTTGTAGGAGATTTGTGGATTGCAATACTTTGTATTGAAATTAGAGAAGTTCACATTGAGCTAAGACAATCTGTATCACCTGTCGTCCGGTTGATTGGAGAATGAGGAACCTGCATCAGTGATCTGTATGCATTCTTTGAGCATCATAGCATCCTTTCAAAATATAGACGAAGAAATCTGACCTTTGGTTCAGTGGACTTCCTGCTGTACCTTTGACATCCCTAGTAATCCTAATCCACTCGATAGCGGCTCTCGCCCACCGGCTATTATGTGAGCGGCTCTTCTAATTCCGACAATATAACACGTTCTCCGACTTCTGATCGTTGAGACAGGTCGAGATTGGGTTTTCTTTCTCTCATTTACAAGCTATGGGAGAATTCTAGCATCGACCTTTCGACTATGTGTTCGATAACGCTATGTAAACTTCCATTTTGCTTACATAGCCACTATAGTTCCGATGCATATGTTAAGACTAGGACAATTTTTGAGTCGAAAAGATGGAACAGATTTGGGTGTTTTTGTTTTCTTCGCTAGATTCTCGATACTTTTGAAAGCTCGCCAAACTGCACTTTTTCTTCTGGTTGTATCTGGAGCGAACACGTTCACCATATTGACTTCTTTATCCAGATACATGGAGTACTCGAAGATTTCCATTCCGTGGAACGCTGACAGAGCATAGGAAACCAATCTGTTCCACATTTGCATCGAATCTGTGAGATTTGGTTGAAGACCAATCTTTCCACAACCGCTCTCGAAGTATATGTCGAATTAGACTGGGAAGAGTCGATTTGATGTGTTAAAGCAGCCGTTACGTACCACATGAATGGAAGTCAACTCCGTCAAACTCATGTGTTAACGGGTTTTCAAAGATCAACAGATCTGTTCTATACGGTCGTCATCCTTGTTGATCTGTTTCAAATATAATGAGCTGCAAAAATCAGCAGATCATATTTACTTATCGACCATCTATTTCTATCACAATAGCTTGTATCTACGGCCCCAGAAATGCTAGTTTGCTATGCAATATTAGATAAAGAATTGATTACAAGCTATCCTTTTATGAACCTTGTGCAAGGTTGATACACCTCTCCTTTAATAGCGATGGCCAACGTTTGGCGATCTTGCCTCGCTTAGAGCTTACATGGCGTACTGTATCAAACCCTATCTAATTATTCAGTCACTATTTCCTAAATCTGCTAAAAATCTAATTCAAAAATCAGAATTCATTTTCATAATTTACACGACCTGACAACTATTAGTAGTAGGGTCGCAATATTTCTCAATCTATTATGATTTTCAAAATGTTGAGTATTATGCAAAACTTTGAACGTCAGACGGAAATCGAACCTTCATTTTACTCTTTCCGGGGCGTTTTCCTTCCTTATTGTTCTATTTATCTTGCTCAGAACGCTTCACCGAAAGGGGTGAAATGCGAATGCGGCTTCGATTTCCGTCCGACGTACAAAGTATTGCATATTACCACCATTATTGGGTATAAACTTGTAGCATCATCCCATCGTTAAAAGTGGTTAAAGAAAAGATTTCAAGTCCATTATAATTTTGGTGATTAAGGAAGATAATAAGGAAAACGATGAAAGAATAAATTGAAATATAGAGGGTAAAAGTAAGAAGTAATGAAATAAAATAATGGAGATTCCCCACTAAAAGTGTCATTTTGCTTAGAATCTAACCCTTCTAATAACACTTTTTTCTTTTAGTTCTTGATTGCGCCTTCTTTCATTGGTTTCGGTTATAATAAGGAAATCATAGAAAATGATAAACATTATTTTTATGCACAATTTCTTCCACACCAATTGCCTATCAAAACTTCATTTTCGCTCAGAATATCAAAAAAAGTAGTTAAGGAAGTTGAAAGTCTTTGAGAAAAGTTATATAATAACTCTGATCCATATCTTCTAAGATTACTGAAGTCAGCCCAATATGCCAACAATTATGCTCAATATAAGTCATGTGAACAATCGCATACCAGTAATATCACAACGCCGATCAATATTGCTTGAAATGGGCCAATTTTCCTAAGATCTATCACAAAATGATAATCTTCATGTACTGTATAGTTCGGTGTTAATGATAGGTTATGCTGAGAAATATAACCACAATAGTACTGATGTGCAAGCAGAACTCGAAATCTGATATACGTAAGATGGATCCGAACCACGAACCTTTTTCGGGAGCGCGTGCTTTCGCATAGCCCTATTGCAGTCCTTAATCCTTCTTTCAATCAACTCTGTCTAATCATATCAGAGGCTGTCAGCAATCATACTTTGGTGGGACTACTGGTGGGAGCTCAAATCGGCATGAGACCCATCTGAGCTGAAGCCGTAGTCGGAATCACATTACTAATTTCTCCTCACTTCGACATGATTTTCAGCCATTTGATTACCGAAAATCCAAAAAAATGCATTAGATTATACTCGGATTTTTTTTCTAATTAGTCTGTCTCTGTTGTTTGTTTCCATAGAAGCATTTCATTTCCTCTCCTTCTTCCTCTCGCCCTTTCTTCCTCCTGTCTTTCTGCTTCTGCCTCTCTACCTCCTCCACCTTTGTGCCGCTTTTGTGCGTCATTTTTATGTTCTAAGCGTCTATCTGTCTGTCTGTCTGACACACCTCTTTAACACTAGTACATGGGTGAGCTTCTATGGCATCTGTTAGCTTCCGTGATTATGATCATCTTTATCAAGATTTTTCGCTTTCATTACAAAAAGTCCCTTCCTAAGCCTTCGTGTTTACCCTGCTATTGACCAAACGACACCTTTCGTGCCGTGTCGCGCGACGTCAAATCTCACCCAGGTACTGTGATTGCGACGTCGTCCCCCTCCACGAATTTGTATTGACGCAGACCGCAATAGAAATAGGGGAAATATTAGGTAAACTAAGGCTCTGAGAGCACGTTATCATCAAGAAGTGATGGAATTTCACTCAAAAAGCCTCTACAGAGATAATTATAGTAATAGTAATATCGATGAGTTCCCTATTTCGTCCATAGTTCTTAAATTTTAGCTAGAAAATCTTTTTCTTCTAGTCAATGTTCATTAGACATTCGAAGGCATGAGAAATAGTGATTTTCATACTAAGCTCTGGGTCTGATGCGACCTTCATATTACGTTCTACTAGCAAAAACAAAAACGTTTTGCTTCCAAGTGCGGTTTTTTCAACTTTACAGCAATTTCTTGTATTTTATCTAGTTAGTATTGGGAAAACTTTACCGCTAGGAAAAGGTGGAATGTTTGTAAAAAATTGTTTAAAATGTATTTTGAGTGGAAAAATGCGCCTATTTAATCCATTTGTTGAAGAGAGGAACGCATGTGGTGCAGTGCTTAGAGGCGCTCTGTTTTGCAGACAATTTCGATAGTTCGATCTTTCGCTCAAGGCTCACCAAGCCATCCTTCTCATCGGGATCGGTAAAAGTGGTGGCAGACTTCTCCGAGATAATAAGTAGCACTGGCTCGATTGGGCGGTAGGCCATCACGAGTGATGGTAAAGGCCTGATATGCATTCAGCCACCTCAAACGAAGCTACAAATTGAATACGAATGCATGACTCATCCCTCAGGGATTGATGTAAGTGGATAGTATAAAACATCATCACCTATAATGCAATAGAACAATGTCATTTCGGCCATTATGAAAGTCTCAACTCATAAGGTATGCTACTGATCGGGAAACACTCGAAAGCAGTCGATGAAGTGACATTGCATTGCGATCTGCCGTAGCATTTTTGGGAGACAAGCCTTTTTCTGTAATTGTTTTGGCAAGTTCCAACCAGAAATAGCCTTATTGAAGTCTTTTCATTCCCATTCCATACTAAAGTCTCCTCAGTAGTCTCAAGTCTCTGTTAATGATGATAAAACCTCTTTGAATGACGAAAAAGTCTGCATTATTATGGAAGTGCAACCCTGGGAAGAATACGCACTCCACCGCGAGCTCAACGGCGCCGATTGCCGCGCAAGCGACTGAGCGACGCCGCCTGCCTATCACCGGTGGTCTTCAAAGAGTTACTAGGAAGCCGTCATAGTAACAGTCCTTGTTCTCACAAAAGTAAACGACGAGGGAATATTTCAACAATATTTCTACGCTCAGCAATCTGTATCTGATAACAAGAAGATTGAAGAATGTTGAATCTTCAGTTTATTCTTCTAAAAATCGCTGCTGATGTTTTACCTATGAATTGAACATAATTTTTTGCGACTCGATTTCATATATGCTATCAAACCTACTATTTGTTCCGTTCATTTCCTTACTTAGATCCATCAATCACAACAGTCTTAGAATTGGGTAGTTTTTGAAGTATTGTTTCCTAAAAATCTGAGAATAACTCCACTAGAATGTTCCCTGACCATTACAACAAGTGTTAGCCGCCTTTTGTCAGTCGAAGGCAATTTACCCAAACAAATATGCTACAATTTCCTGGCATTGGAAGTGTGAGGGCTTGTTGATCAGGGACGGGATCGAACTATCGACTATGCCTAAAACTATTGCATGTTCTCTCTGACGCTTACACCACTTTCTTTTCCGTTTTGTATCCATATATAACGGAGCGATTCCCCCGCCATTTTCTATCCAGTGAGAGCTCAGCGTTACTTGGATTT